TTCAGCCCAAGTGAAATTATATTCAATATTTTTATTATTTTCAATATATTAAGCAATCATGTTAAGCAACTCATCCAAAAATTACTCTGGGATGCTTCTAATTACATTTTAAACTTCGCTGAAAGGAATATTCATATAAATTTACTCTAATAATTCTTTACTGTTGAGTTTCAATGCAACAACGAATGCCCTAAAATAATTTTTAATTAATTTAATTAGCAAATAAATAAAAACTTTTCAAAAATAAAATTTACTTTGAGTAATCTTTTTCTTCATAAGCCTACAAAACATCTTTAACTGAAATATTTTCTTCTAATTCATAAGGACTGAAGAAAGATTTTTTAGGATAGCCAAAAACTAAAACACCTTCACTGGTAGCTACAATCCAATTTTCTTCTCCTGGTGAGAATTTAATTTATCTACCTATTAAATAATTGAAATTTATTCATTAAACATGAATTTAAATTAATTAATTTGTTACTTTCTACTGGTTATTTCATGGTTCTCTTTGATACATCAAAATTCTTAGCTCCTGGAAGAATGTTATCTTTTCTTTCTTCATAATCCGAGTCATCGAAATCATCAATTTCATTGACCATATCAACTCCTTCCTTAATATTTTTGCTGTTAAGTTTGTTAAGAACTCCATCTAAAGATCTGTTTTATGAAAGCACGAACTTTTTAATCATAATTCTGTGACGTAATTCGTACAAGCAGACATATTTAGAGTTACCACCAGCTAAAATATAATCACCATCAGCACTATACTCAACAGTTTTGAAATATTTGTGAGTATTTTTAGTTCTGTCTGAATCATTTCTACCATATTCTAAATCTCTCTTGCAATCTAAAATACCTACAACTGAGCTTTGGTCATTCCATAAATATATTTCTCCTTTTAATGTTGAAACGCAAAATTCTTTGCCATCCTTTCTAATATCAATGCAAGTAACTTCCGAATTATGATCAAGAACCTAAATAAATAAATTAATATGTCAATAAATTATTTAAAAATCAAACTGAATTATTTGCTATTTACTTCTGTGTTTAATTTTCTAGAAAAGATGTCATGAATTCTAACTTATTTATCCCAAGAACCAGTATAGAGCTTCTCTCCCCAGAATTTAATGCAAGAAATAGGAGCTGTGTGGCCAGAAATAACTTCTAACAAATTACCAGTTTATAAATTCCAAATATATACATCGTAAGGATCTTAACCACCTGCATAGACAACTTCACCTGCTGAATCTACAGCAACGCAATTTAACTAAGTGCTGATGTTTGGTTTCATTGTTCTGAAGCATCTATTTTTTTACAGCAAAATAAATTAAAAAAACTATTTCAATTAAATATTAAAAAATTAATTGTATTAACCTGTATCTTGCTGTGTCAAATGCCTTACATGTTCCATCCAAACTACTTGTAATAACTGTATTTGCTCTAGAAGTAAATGTAATACCACTAACTATTTATTATATTCAGTAATTGATTAAAGACAAAAGATATTTAGATAAAACTAAATTAATTTATTTATTTACTCTTAGAACTGTGCTCAGAAAGAGTAGTGAAGCAAAGGTGAGATTTAGAATCCCAAAGACGTAATTTACCGTCACAGCCTCCTGTTGCTATCATTAAGCCATCTTCAGAATAGGCTAAGACATTTATATCATTTGTTAAGCATTATTGATCGAGAATGTAACTTTGACTTCTCCATTCCCAAATAATTAACTAACCAGTTTTATTCATACCTAAAGCTATCCATGATCCAGAATAATTAACTGATATTGTGTTAATCCTGCAATTGCTAATGCTGAAAGTTTGTATTTCCTATAAATCGCTTTCTTTTTCTAATCTATATAATGCATAACAGCCAGATTTGAAACCAAGAACGATCATTCTTGTGTCAGCATGGTATTCGCAACTTTTAAGCTTTCCTCCTTTGAAAATTTCCTTTTTTTCAAGGACAAAACGCCCCTTCGATGTTTCCTTTTCGAATTTGCTCATTAAAGTAAATTCTTGAGTGACTAAATTGATAACAGAAATGATTAATACTACTAATAAAACAATTTTAATAAAATTTACCTTGTACTTCGTCTTCTTCTTCTTAAACTTCTACCTCTGCTCTATCATTAGCATCTAAAACATTAGCACCGTTTTCAATACCAATATTATGTCCCTATTTAATTTTATTGAATTACTTTCTGTGCTTAAACTAATCTGAAAGATAGTCAGTGCTCCATTTCCAAACACACATCAAACCACTCTTGTCAACAGTGTAAAAATACTTCATATCCCTTGAAAAGAAGGTTTTAATGACAGGATGCTTATTTACAGTAAAAGTGATAGTCTAGAAATCTTCAAGCTTGTGAAGATTATGCATTTGAACTGTTAAGTCCTTGCTTGATGTAATAATAAATCTTGAATCAGGAGACCACTCAATGCTAGTAATCTTATCATTGTGACTTCCTTTAAATCTTTTGTATTGTAAAAGAGTTTCGAAATTTCTCCATAAAGAAGGAGCTTCAAAAATTCTAAATGAGATATCGCTGGCAACAGCCAAAAATAGTCCATTGGGAGAGAACTAAATAGCATTAACGCTAGACTTAAAATTAAAGTAAGAAATAGTCTTCTTTGTGATTAAGTTAACAATGATTGCATATCCTAATTAGTCTACTGCGATCAAAATCTTTGAATCTGGAGATATTGCTAACTATTTAATATCAGAACGTGCTTCACAATCTAAAGTATGAGTCAAATTAGTCTCTAAATCTAAAGCTTTTATCCTATTGTTTACAGCAGTAAATAAAATGTTCTTCTTAGGAGAAAATACTATATTTCCATCCTTATAAAATGACCCGCAAATGTTGTTTAACTCAAATGAACCAATCATGTTTTGTACCTAATTTTTAACCTTTTTTTTTAATTAAGATCCTAGTAGTATTTGTGAATAAATAAATTTTTAACAAATTAGTTTGATCCTATTTAACTTTATTAAAAATATAAATCAAAACATTCATATCAAATTTACAGCTTTTTTATCAAAACCAACTTTATCATATAATCTAATGTAATTCAATACAAATCAATCAATATCTTTATTTATTTATTTATTTCTTTCTTTCTTTCTTATAATGAATTTATGATGATTCTAACAACTCTAATCAATTAAATTTGTGTTTTTGTTTCAATACACAAAATAAATACTCTACCACTTTAAGCAATTATAACACCAATAAATTATATTAAAACTCTTTTAAATAAAAATCATTTTAAATCCATCTGAATTTACTTTATTTAAAAAATTTGAAAAAAAATATTAATAAATCAATGTTTTTGGTATTATTAATGAAATAAATAAGTTTCCATTTAAATAATTTACTCAATAAAGGAGTTACTTTTATTCTTTACTTTATAAATGTTAATAATAAAAATATATTTATGCACAATTGTTATTTTTTAAATAAAAATTATTTTTTTAAATCAATAAATTTTAATTTATTGTTTCAATACGAAGTTTAATCTGTGATAATTTTAAAAATTCAGTAATTTATGCTTTAGAAGCTAAGAAATTATTCTATTTAAGCATATCTTTATAAAGATTGTTTTTATATTTATTTGTAATTTCAAAATCTTAAACAAAATTATTTCTTAAACTATTTAAATATTCATTTTTCAATAATTTTTAAATTTTTTTATTTTTTATTAATAATTTATTTACTCTAAAAAATATGAACAATATTTATAAATATAAAATCAATAATAAAATCTATCTATTTATTTATTTATTTATTTATTTATATTTTAGTTTAAATAAACATTTTCAAAATATTATGTAATAAAATATAAACTATTATTCAAACATTTAATATTTATTATTCCTTTTTTCGCCAGTTGTTTATCACCATAATAGTATTTTAAAGACAACTAATCTTTTTGATTTAAGACACTTGCTTTTTACTTTGAATTTTTATTATACATTTATTGAGCTAAAAATTTTATAATAAATTAGTGTAAATTTTAAATAAATATTAAAATAGAATAAACTTTTAAATTAAAAACTATTTCTTAAATTAGTAAACAAAATACATTTATTTGTGGAATCAAAAAGATAAAAAAATAAATCAAATAAAAGCTATCAAAAAATTTAAAAGAGTTTTTTTGTTTTATATTCATTTTTATAGTTTAAAATATCACAATCCAAAACAAATAAACTGTTTTTACCTAAGATAAAGTGTCAAATTTGAGAGATTAATGCAATTTGCTAAAGCAGAACCTAAGCCTGATGCAGCTTCATTACCAATTTAATTCTTACTTTTTAAATATTGAAGAAAAAAAATATCATTAAATAGTTAATTAGAAGGAAAAAATGAAGAAAAAATATGAAATAATAAATAAGATTAATTAATAATAAAAGCAAAAGTTGAAAATAAAATGATTAGCTAAAATTAACAAAGAAAGAACAAAAAAAAGCATGCACAATAAAAAGAAAAAGAAAAAAGAGCTTTATTGTTTTTAATTAGTTTTAAAAATTAAAAATATATCACAATCCAAAACAAATAAACTGTTTTTACTAAAGATAAAGTGCCAAATTTGAGAGATTAATGCAATTTGCTAAAGCAGAACCTAAGCCTGTTGCACCTTCATCACCAATTTAATTGTAGCTTTTTAAATATTGAAGAAAAATATATCATTAATAGTTAAAAGTAAAAAATGAATAAAAAATATGAAATAATAAGATTAATTAATAATAAAAGCAAAAGTTGAAAATAAAATGATGAGCTAAATTAACAAAGAAAGAACAAAAAAAAAGCAAGCACAATAAAAAGAAAAAGAAAAAAGAGGTTTATAGTTTTTAATTAGTTTTATAAATTAAAAATATATCACAATCAAAAACAAATAAACTATTTTTACCTAAGATCAAGTGCCAAATTTGAGAGATTAATGCAATTTGCTAAAGCAGAACCTAAGCCTGATGTACCTTCATCACCAATTTAATTGCTACTTTTTAAATGTTGAAGAAAAAATATATCATTAAATAGTTAATTAGAAGGAAAAAATGAAGAAAAAATATGAAATAATAAGTAAGATTAATTAATAATAAAAGCTAAAGTTGAAAATAAAATGATGAGTTAAATTAACAAATTTTAATTAGTTTTTATAATTAAAAATATCACAATCCAAAACAAATAAACTGTTTTTACTCAAGATAAAGTGTCAAATTTGAGAGATTAATGCAATTTGCTAAAGCAGAACCTAAGCCTGATGCACCTTCATCACCAATTTAATTGCTACTTTTTAAATGTTGAAGAAAAAATATATCATTAAATAGTTAATTAGAAGGAAAAAATGAAGAAAAAATATGAAATAATAAGTAAGATTAATTAATAATAAATGCTAAAGTAGAAAATAAAATGATGAGCTAAATTAACAAAGAAAGAACAAAAAAAAAGCAAGCACAATAAAAAGAAAAAGAAAAAAGAGGTTTATAGTTTTTAATTAGTTTTATAAATTAAAAATATATCACAATCCAAAACAAATAAACTGTTTTTACCTAAGATAAAGTGTCAAATTTGAGAGATTAATGCAATTTGCTAAAGCAGAACCTAAGCCTGATGCAGCTTCATTACCAATTTAATTCCTACTTTTTAAATATTGAAGAAAAAAAATATCATTAAATAGTTAATTAGAAGGAAAAAATGAAGAAAAAATATGAAATAATAAATAAGATTAATTAATAATAAATGCAAAAGTTGAAAATAAAATTATGAGCTAAAATTAACAAAGAAAGAACAAAAAAAAGCATGCACAATAAAAAGAAAAAGAAAAAGAAAAAGAGCTTTATTGTTTTTAATTAGTTTTAAAAATAAAAAATATCACAATCCAAAACTAATAAACTGTTTTTACTAAAGATTAAGTGTCAAATTTGAGAGATTAATGCAATTTGCTAAAGCAGAACCTAAGCCTGATGTACCCATTGCACCAATTTAATTTTAGCTTTTTAAATATTGAAAAAAATATATAATTAATAGTTAATTAGAAGGAAAAAATCAATAAAAAATATGAAATAATAAGATTAATTAATTAATAATAAAAGCAAAAGTTGAAAATAAAATGATGAGTTTAATTAACAAAAAAAGAACAAAAAAAAGCAAGCACAATAAAAAGAAAAAGAAAACAGAGCTTTATTGTTTTTAATTAGTTTTTATAATTCAAAATATCACAATCCAAAACAAATAAGCTGTTTTTACCTAAGATCAAGTGTTAAATTTGAGAGATTAATTCTATTTGCTAAAGCAGAACCTAAGCCTGATGTACCCATTGCACCAATTTAATTCCAGCTTTTTAAATATTGAAGAAAAAATATATCATTAAATAGTTAATTAGAAGGAAAAAATGAAGAAAAAATATGAAATTATAAGATTAATTAATTAATAATAAAAGCAAAAGTTGAAAATAAAATGATGAGTTAAATTAACAAAGAAAGAACAAAAAAAAGCAAGCACAATAAAAAGAAAAAGAAAAAAGAGCTTTATTGTTTTTAATTAGTTTTAAAAATTAAAAATATCACAATCCAAAACAAATAAGCTGTTTTTACCTAAGATTAAGTTTCAAATTTGACAGATTAATGCAATTTGCTAAAGCAGAACCTAAGCCTGATGCACCTTCATTACCAATTTAATTCTATCTTTTTTAATATTGAAGAAAAAATATATCATTAAATAGTTAATTAGAAGGAAAAAATGAAGAAAAAATATGAAATAATAAAAAAGATTAATTAATAATAAAAGCAAAAGTTGAAAATAAAATGATGAGCTAAATTAACAAAGAAAGAACAAAAAAAAAGCAAGCACAATAAAAAGAAAAAGAAAAAAAGGCTTTATTGTTTTTAATTAGTTTTAAAAATTAAAAATATATCACAATCAAAAACAAATAAACTGTTTTTACTAAAGATCAAGTGTCAAATTTGAGAGATTAATGCAATTTGCTAAACCAGAACCTAAGCCTGATGCACCTTCATCACCAATTTAATTGCTACTTTTTAAATTTTGAAGAAAAAATATATCATTAAATAGTTAATTAGAAGGAAAAAATGAAGAAAAAATATGAAATAATAAGATTAATTAATTAATAATAAAAGCTAAAGTTGAAAATAAAATGATGAGCTAAAATTAACAAAGAAAGAACAAAAAAAAGCATGCACAATAAAAAGAAAATGAAAAAAGAGCTTTATTGTTTTTAATTAGTTTTTATAATTAAAAATATCACAATCCAAAACAAATAAACTATTTTTACTAAAGATCAAGGGTCAAATTTGAGAGATTAATGCAATTTGCTAAAGCAGAACCTAAACCTGATGCACCTTCATCACCAATTTAAAAAGGGCTAAGCGGCTCGAGTGGGCGAGTCGGAGGGTCTTAGCAGTGATATCGGGGGTTCGAATCCTATACCGCCCCCTTTCGTAAAATTTTTCAAAATTTATTTAAAAAAAAAATGATATGTTATAAGAATATACTGTATGTATATATTATTTCAAATTTTACATTTTGAGAATTTAAAGCTTTTTAAAAACTCAAAAATAAAGCTGTTTTAAGCTAATTTAGCTTTATTTATTATGCTATTAAGATATATTACATTTCGCCTTTTATAAATTAAATAGGCATTTCACTCTAGTTAATTAGAAGGAAAAAATATGAAATTATAAGATTAATTAATAACTAATAAAATTAATAAAGAATGAAAAAAAAGAAGTCATAATAAAAAGAAAAAGAAATCAAATAAACTAAAAGAGCTTTAATGTTTTAAATTAACTTTATTATTAAAAATATTACAATACAAAACTAATAAACTGCTTTTATTAAGTGTAAGTTTTAATAGCAAAAAATGAAGAAAAAATATCAAATAATAAAAAATGAATAATAAATAATTAAAAATTGAATTGACATGAAAATTAAGTTAAAATAGCTAAAATATTTTTGTTTTAATAAAAATCAATAAATAATTATGATAATTTCTATAATAAAAATTATTTATTTAAATAAATTTAAATTTAAATTTTTAAAAAGTAATAATAATAATAATAATAATAATAATAATGTTAATTAATAAAATTACTTGAGATTAATATGGAGAACCTAATGAGATAAAAATGAAGAGCTTATAAACTTTTTTTATTAATTTATATAAATTTAAATGATATTAATTAAAAAATTTATAATTACTTCTTCTAATTTTTTATAATATTTAATCTATTATATCATTTATTTTTTTTCAAAAATATTGAATAGCAATTTATGAAATTTAATTAATTAATTAATTATAAATTGATAAAAAGAACAAATAAAATATAATAATTAATTATCAAATATTAATTTATATATTTGGTTTTATCAAGAGATAGATATCACAGAAAAATTAATTTAACATTCATTATTTAAACTTAATATTTGTATTTAAAACATATACTTAAAAATATAGTAGGAATTAGAGATAGCCATTTATTTAAGCATATTTGTAAAAACTCTAATAATTAATTTCTTAAATTTTATAAAAATAATGTTTATAAGTAGATTTAAGAAAAAAGTTAAATTAATTTTTAGAAAAAAAGCAAAAATAAAAGATAATTAATTTTAGATTAGAGAATTGAATTAAATTAGCTTTTTTTAAATTATTTTCATGAAAATTTTTTCAAATAAAAATTTAATTAATAATTTAATTGACCTAAATTTAGGTAGTTTCTTGTTATTAAAATCTTAAGTTAATTTAAATTCATCATTTTTTAATCTATCTTTATAGTTCATTCAATAACTTAAAAATTTTATTATTATGTTATTTTCAAGATGATATTTTTTTAGAAAAAATTGATTATGTATTCATTCATAAATATTTTAATACATAAAAAAAATTTTTGAATACTCAAGTTAATTAAAGTAGAAATAAATTTTCATAGGTTGAATATTAAAGTCGTCTATTTTACTTACATTTTATTTTATGCAAACAACAAATCATTTTTATTCATCAACTTTTTCATATTCAATTTTTAATAATTTAAATAAATTTGAATGAACTTTACATCAAAACTTAAACCATAAAAAAGCGCAAATTTAGTATTGAACATATGAAATTAAATAAAATAAAATTATTTTTTATGAAAAAAAATATAATTTCACTTAAAAAAGAATCCGAAAATAAAAAATTAATTAAACATTTCATTTAAAAATAGACAGAATACATAGAATATTATCAATAATTTTGGTATTATTTTTTAACAACCACAACTTTTTTCAATTTATAAAGTAAACTGTTAAATTATTTCTGCCTTAGCTAGTTATAAGCATATCGATGACTTTAAGAAATAACAAGAGTATTGATTTTTTTAAGATTTCTAACTTGATTGATTAATTCAAACATAATTTCACTATAATCTTGAAATTTAATTTCAAGAACTAGTATATTTTCATGACACTTAAATAACTGCATTTATTCGTCAATATCAATAGTTCTTGTTAGGTTTAGACTTAATTCCTTTAAATTACCAAACTTTTATAATTAAATTTATTTACAAATTTCTTTCATATAAGCTATTCTTTTGATCATCTTTTCAAAATTCTTTAATGAAAACTCCTCTAGTTTTACCTCGTGGTATATTTCTTGAAAAATAATAAATATGTTTTAATTTACTTACATAAATTTTATATTAAGTTCATTTAAACTATTTTTAATTATAAGTAAAAGGTGAACTTAGTCTAAATTTATCAGTTTTGAATAAATATTCGAATATTCTTAATCTTGAAATGTATAATAATTTGTCATATTTTAGCCGTTTGTTCTTATGTGCAATTCGTAAATTACATTTTAATTTAGATTATTTGAAAGGACAATATTTAACAAATTTTATAGATCAGTAAGAAATGGGTTTTTGATTAACATATCTTATTCTTTATTTATTTAGTATTCAAATATATCTAAATCAACTGCTTCATCCTTTAAATCGTTACTAATTTGTTAGGGATTTATTTTATTAGAGATATTAATTGCTTCTTTGCCTTATCTTAAAAGATAAGTTTCAAGTTTTTTTAGTAAAAAGTTATATTGTAAAATATTAGGTAAAGACCATTATTTCTTAAAAAGTTAGTTGCATATTTTAGAATCTAGAAGTACTTCATCTTAATAAAAGTTAATATAATCTTCTAAAAAAATATACATAGAAGTAACCAACTATGAATGTTTTATTAGATTAAAAGTATTTATTTTATAAGCTTGTAAATTAATATTTAATTTGTTATTTGAATCAATGAGCATAGATTACTAATAGTAATTGTAATCAATTAGATATTTAAGTAAATCAATATGTTCAATAATATTTTTATAGGAAGTATTAATATGTTCTTTAGATTTACTATCAATCTCATTCAAGAATTAGAATAGTTAATTATTTATAATTTTAACATTGCTCCCATTTTTATAATAATTTTATGGTTCTTTATATTAATTTTGGAATTCATTCTGTTAAATTTTAATTAAATTAGCATATTTTTAATCATACCTTTCTGAGTTTATTTATTCGATAGCAACATCAAAATTATTTTATATGTTATAAATACCCAAAAGTATAATTTTAGAAGGACAGATACTCGTTAATTTTATTTTAAATTTAGAAAATAAATCATAGTTGATTTCCGCCAGTATTTAAAACACAAATAATAAATATTGAAAATTATTTTAATAAACTAAGAGTAGATCTTAAATAGAAGGATAGCTCTAGGCTAATTTTTTAGGCTTAAAATAATTGTATTCAACAAAAAGGTAGAAATATTATTGCATGAAGATTATTTCAGTAGAAATCAAGTCCTTCGTTATATTTGCTTGTAAATTAATAAGTCTTTGTTCTTCCTCAATTTTATCTAATCTGCTAAATTTAGTGACTAGCAAATATTTTATTTCTTTTTGCTATTTAATTTTAAGCTTGAAATTCTCAGAATTAAAAGATAACACTTGGAATTTTTCATATTTTGGATGTTACTAAATGAATTAGAAAATATCTTCCTCATGGTACTTCAATATATCTGGAAAGAAATATTTTATTTTTTCTAAGAGTTTGTCCTTACTGATAATTATAAAAATGTTTTTTTCAAACCAATTTTGTTAATTTTGTTGTTCATCAAATTCATTGTTTAAATCTGAAATATAATTCTAATACAATGTAAAATTATCATCTAATTTAGGATCATTATGAAATTGAGTAAAAAAGTACCTATATTAATTTGAATTATTTGCTTTTATTTATAATTAATCTCTTAAAGTAAATACAAAATCCTATTAAATAATTTTATGTTTATTAAAAACTCTGCTTACTTCATTTTAAAAACAAAATAAATCGACTTTTAAGCTTATTTAATTCTGGATAGAGTTCATTATTTATTCATTATTTAAATCTTAAAAGAATTCACAAAAAAATGCTTGTAATTTGCTAATAATATTTTATTTCAAATCATTATGAAAATAAATAAGAGAGTTGGCAGAAACTTCCTATTCAAAAACATAGAAAGTCTTTTTGTCATCCAAATAGTAAGAGTCGTACAAGTTCAAAATTAAATCTTTTCTTGGAAAACGCTGAAATAATTCTATGTAATAATCAATAATATTTTCTTTTTTGTTGTCAAATATTACAAGTTGTTTCTTAATATTTTCGAAACTATCAAATACCTCTAAAATTATATGATTGCTGCCTATTTGGCGGTTTATTTTAATTTCTTCTTAATTTTCTATGAATTCATAATAAAGCTAAAAATGAGGTTTATATATTTTTAAATACTCTTTTAAAAGCTTATTTTCTAATTAATTGCATCGATTTTAGTAGCGATTTATGATTTCTTCAGTACTTACTCCATAAAAATCGTAATTGCTACCTGAATATTCAAAAAAATATTAATCCCCGTATGTATGATGATAAATATTCATATCCTAATTTTTAATTTTCCTATTTATTTATTAATTAATTTATTATAATCAAACTATTCTTTCTCAATCATTTTTCAAATAATATATTTTGTGCGCTTAGATTTTATCAGACTTAATTTAAAAATATATATTCAGAAAAATGGCTAAGAACTTTAGCAAATATTTTAAAACTGTTTCTTGTTAAGATTTTAAAGAAGATAATAATTCTGATACTTAGAATTAATTGATACAGTTTTAAATTCATTTGTAGAATTCTTTTTATTTAATCTCCAATCAAGATTTAAATTATTTCCCAAATAAATTTGCAATTTTAAAAAAATGCGCTCTGTGCTCTTTGGTGTTTGTAGAACATATTTTAATTTAAAAGTATATTTAAATATGAATGATTTTAGCGCCTATTTTAATTAAATAAAACTCTTTTCCTATACTAATATAAATAATTGAATTTTGATAATATTAGATTATATGTACTTATATGTTAAAATATTAAAATTCTTTCTATTTTATTTATTCATAAAAAGATAAGATTAAAATAAAAATATATTAAATTAATAATATCATTAATAAATAAATTCATTTATTCAGTCATGATTTTCTGCATTTTTAAAAAAACTAATTATAATATTTTATGACTAAGATTTAATGAGATTGTTTTTTATTTTAAAATTGCATTCAATTTGTTTTATTGCTTTAAATATTTAACTTAATCTATTATTCACATCTAGAAATGTTAATGAAATTAGGTAGTTTAAATTTAATACTTTGTTTCCTGCTTCTGCTTGAGTGAGTTATAACTTGTAAATTAGTTATCATTAATTTATTAGATGGTTTGAAGATGCTTTCTGTATGTATTTTCAATTATCATTTAGGATTTTTGATATGAATTAACAATTTAATTTGTAAAGAAAGTAAATAATTTAGTGAGATTATCTGATTGTGTGTGTAAAAATCTATTTGATTTTCCTCTACTCTACTTTTATTGGGGAATATTTTAATTTTAAATAATTGATAGTCACTTTATTTTGAATAATTTCTTCTATTGCATGAATTGATCAATGGTAGCTTATATTTAATACTATTTTTCGTGCTTGAATTATAACTTTTAAATTAGTGATCGATCAGTCATTTATTAGATGGTTTGAAGATTTATATGATACCTCTATATGTTTTCTGTATTTATTTTTAATTATCTATTTAATTAGGATTTTTGATATGAATTAATTAATAATTTAGTTTGTGAAGAAAATTAGTGATATTATCTGATTGTGTAAACATCTATTTGATCTTCTTTCTATCTTTGACTAGGGAATATTTTGATTTTTCAATAATTGCTAGTCTTTTCATTTTTAGTAATTTCTTCTATTGTATGAATCAATTTCAGATGTAGTAAAATAAGGTTTTTAATTTGATTTCTTATCAAGAATTAATTCCAAGCAAGTCAATTTTTTATTTTGATAAAAGACTTCAGTTAGTTAAATTTAGACTTAATTGATGAGAATAGAAATAATATTTTTTATTTATGTCTCTAATTAAAATCAGATTGATTAAATTCGTATTTTGTAATCTACTTATTTATTTATTTAAAATATTACTTTTATATTTAAAATGAATGTTTAGGTTAAATTTTTAAAAATGATTGATTAATAATTAAATTAAATTGAAAAACTCATAAAAATTAATAATTAGATAGATATTATTTTTATTAAAAATTGAATAAAAGATCAAGAAAAATAAAGATGATATAATAGAAAAAATATTTTTAAAATCTATCTAATGTAATTTGTTAATTTACAAAAAAAAATAAATATATTTTTTTAAAAATAAAATTAAGTTATTAAACTCTGAACTATTAACTCACATAAATCTTGAACTTGATCTACAGTAAAAATTATTTATATTTTTTAATTAGAAAAGACTTTGATGAATGAGTTTTTATTTTAAAAGGAAAATATAACAAAACTACTTATAAATTATTAATTTATTCTATTTATCATATTTATTTTTTATATTAATTGACAATAACTTACCAACTTACTTTTTGTAAAAGTATCGATAGCCATGGTGTATAAAATTTAGCTTAAGTCTTATTATAATGCTCTAATATGTAAATATTGGCTCTTGATTTAAGGTTAGAAGTTAATGCTTTTATTAAAATATTTTAAGTTTTAAATTAATAAGTGAAGAGTAAGAAACATGATAATTAATTAAATTTTCCATTTAATTTTGCAAAATAACTTAACAAAGCAGGCAGACTGATTTTATTTATTTATTTATTTTTGAATTTTTCATTTAATTTTTATCATTTTCATTTTTATTTCATGTTTACATTCATTAATTGATTGAGATTCTCAAAAATATAAAAAGCGTTAATAATATTTATACAGACTATGGAATAAATTCAGAAGCAGCATTAGATTTAGTCTCTACTTTAGCTAAATGCGACAAACTTTCAAATTTAACTCTTGACTTCTAGTAAATTAATTTATTTTTAATTTAATAAAATTAGAAAAAAGAAAATAAAAAATTATTAGATTTATTTTTTGCCTAATTATATTCTTAGCTGTATTATTTATGCTTTGTTTTTTATACTTTTAAAAACTTAATCTATTTATTAGCAATTTATTTAAGTATTTTCATTTTAATTAATTTTAATTTGAATAAAATTAATTTTTTATATTGTATAAAATATAAATTATATTAACTAATTAATTTAAAAAGCGGAAATTCATTATTTGATAACAATTGTTCATTTTCAAAAAAATTATCTTCTGCATTTACAAAGTTCCAAAATCTGAAAAGACTATGTCTCTCTTTACAGTATAATATTTTTTTATTAAAGAATAAGAAATAATTAAAGACTAATTATGTATTTATTTAGCTTTTACTAATTACTATTTTACAAGTTCTAATTAAAAATAATATTATTTTCTCTATATTAACTCTATTACAAATATAACTAAGGAGAAGCTCAATGCGTATTGCAGATTATTTTGAATTAGGTTCTGGTTTCGCTAAATGTACAAAATTATAGATTTTAGAGCTTGATTTATTGTAAAAATAACTATAAAATTTTTATTTTATTTTTATTACAATAAGAAAAAAATTTTTTATTTATTATTGAATAATTTTATTTGATATTTATTATACTTAGTTTTTTAAGTTTTTGATTGTTTATTTTATAATTTTTTTCAAGTTTATACCAAAATTTTATTTATAAAAAAATTATTTTCTATTTGTATTTAATTTAAGTAATTTATTAAGTAAAGAAATTTTTTTCTAAATTATTAAAAGTGATAATAGAATTAATGAAAAAGGTGAGGCAAACTTAATTTCTACTTTATTTAAGTGCAATTAACTAATATATTTATACCTAATCATTCAGTAAGTAGTATTCTTATCAAATTAATTTTTTTTTTCATTTTTGTTAAGTTTTACATATTTATTGATTAAAAATTTTTTTATAAACAAAAAAGATTTTAAACAGAAAAATCAACTACAAAGCTACATAAAATGAAGAGATTAGTTTATCTTTCTATTTCTTCATATTGTTGAATAAATAGAGATGATATTAATATAACTACTTATATTATAAATTTATTTAGTCAATCAATCATAATTGTTTTAAAATAATTATATAAAAAATTAATTTTGTAGTAATGAAAAAATCTTTATAAATTTAAAGAATAGTTTTAAAAACTTAAACAGTATTTTATTAAAGCATTTACTCATCACCTATAAAAGCTATAATCAAATTTTTAATTTTATAGCACTTCCAAGTATTAAATTCTTATGGATATGGAAAATTAAGAATTTAATTTATGGATTTGCTATAAAGTAGATTAATTAAATGAATAATTTTATTTTACCTTTTATTATAAACTAATTTGTTTTATAATTTTTTAATATATATTATATTTTAAATTTATAATAGTTTATTATTTTATAATATTATAAATATGCTTAATTATTATAATTTTTCATATTTTTTGCACAAAATTAATTTTTAACTGCTTTGATGACACATTAACTAAATAACTAACTAACTATATTTGATTAATATATCAAAATATATCAGTAAATAAAATTTAATTTTATACATAAACTTTTTTTTCCTTAAGATTAGTCCTAAATGTTATTTTACAGTATTGAAAAGTGTTATAAAATATAAAAAATATTGTTAGGAGTGTTTATAATTTAATTTATAATAATTATGAAAGAATATTTGAAATATAATCATGATTCACAAATAATCTTAGTTCTAGTTTATCATTTATGGTTACCCATATTATTATATCTTAACTTTTGGAAGCATAGAGTTGGGCATAATAATTAAGTTATTTTAGTTTTGATTTTAGAGTGGGTAATTATTTTTTTAATTTTAACTTATTAAGCTTTAATTTATTAATGAAGGCTATAATTGTACTGGATTCCAGTTTTTGGGAGCTTAAATTTGTAGTTATTGAGGAATAAGCTAATTATTTTATAATTAATTGGGGTTAGGATTGATGTATATTTTAATTTCGTGAGGAGTATTATTGGAAACACAACAAACAGTACTTATTTCAGGAGTTATTTACAAGTAATACACGACTTAAATCAATTATCCTTGAGATGATAAAGCCAAATCAGTTGGTAATTAAAACTATATATCCTATTTTACCTTAGAAGAATTCACTTTATGATTCATACTTTTTTCAGATATGGTTAAAAGTTTGCTTCTTTCAGTGTCGTTTGCTTTCATCGTAAGCTATCCAATCAATTTGATATTTAAGCTCTTAACAGTTTTACCATATTAGCTAAAATCTATGTCCATTTTGAGATTTATTGTTTCACCAGGAGAAAAGCATCTACTGTTCATAGTTATATTATAAAAAATTTACCCTGACCTACAACAGCAACATAGTACAGGTTCTTGATGGGATATCGTATTGTTAGATAAGCCAAAAGCAGATATTTGTTATCCTATAAAAATATCTTGACTGCCATATATTGGCTTCATATTAGGCTCGGTAGGAAGAATTTGAGCAATTAAGGAGTATTTTAGAGAACATTAAGTACCTTCACTATAAAAATACTTCATGGAAGAAGGGAGCTAATCTACTATTTGTAATTAAAAAGGAATTACAAGCTAGCATGGTTTTAATATAAAGGTAGGGTCACGAGATCCTTAAGAAAAATCATAAATAGGGATAGAAAAATTTAGAAAGTCATTGTATCCTTTCGCGTAATACGTCTTAGTATGTTTACGAATCCTAATAGTATAAATATAACTAGTTTCTTCCAGTCCATTCAAAGTTATTTAAAGTATGTGACCTTAAAATGGTTCTTCTAAGCTAATATTAAGCAGACCTTAAACCACCTCGTTGCTCACAAAGTATGTTTTTTGTAATTAAATAAATATTCCACCTTTAATCTGTCTTCTTTTATCTTTAGGATTACTTTAGCCCATGTATTTTTTAATCAATAAGAGTATTAATTAGGTGATTAAGGTATTTATTAATCAAATATTTTCTTTTACAAACTTAATAACAAATTAATTTGTTATAACTTTTTTTAAAATAAATGCTTTATTTTTAAATTCTTGTTTGTAATAAGAATTAATTTTTTATTTACTTATTTATTCAATTTTTTATTGAATTTATTTCAGAATAAATTATTTAATATCAGCCTTAAAATTCTTAATAGGTATTGAATTATCTTAATTTGAACTTATGCGTATTTAGTTAGTTTTTGCTCAGTAGTAATCCTTCTTTTGAAATTACATTTTTAATTAATTAAATCTAACCTGGAAAAAAAATAAATTAAATTATAAATTTCATGGCTAAGTTACCTACCTCCCTACCAGTGAAGAATATAAATAATCCAATATGAAACTGTTTTTATATTACATGCGAAATAAATATATAAAATGAATAATTTGTGTATGTTGTTGATTTAATTTATCTGCATTAAAAAATATTTTTTTAAATAGTATTTTTAGAATTCTTTTAATTGTGTAAAATTATATATTTCTTTTCAATTGTAAGCAAAATTTAATTTACATTAATTAGCCTGTATTTTAATTTGTGAATTTCGACCATATTAAATTCGATTTTTATTTAATTAATTGAAAAAGATTTATATATTTTTGATTAAATAATGTAAGATAAGATTTTTTTTGAATTTCGAATTTTGCTTTAAAATATATTTTGTTATTATAATATAAAAAGAAAAACAACATAAAATTAATTATCAATAAATTTATATTTTATTTATTAATTTATATAAAATAAAATTTAAATTTAAATTAATTATTTTAAATTTAAAAGTTAGCAAATAAATAAATATAAAATGATATAAAATTTAAAAATAATTAAATTTATTTATTTTTTAATTAAAAAAAACATGTAGCTCCACAGCTACAGAAAAAATTTGCTGCAAATAGCAATAATATAACACTAAAAGTTTCAAATTATTTGATCATTTTTGGAGAAACTATAGGTTTCCTTAAGAGGAATTAATTAATTTAAGTAAATTTAATTTTTTTATTTTATATAAATAATTAATTTACTTATAAAAATAAATATGAATGATATTTATAAATGTAAATCAATAATAAAATCTATCTATTTATTTATATTTTAGATTAAAAAAAACTTTTCAAAATATTATATGATATTATTCAAACATTTAATATTTATTCATCCTTTTTTCGTGATTTCTTTATAATCAGAATAATTTTTTAAAGACAACTAATTTTTTTGATTTAAGACACTCGCTTACAACTTTGAATTTTTATGATTCATTGATTTCGCCAATACTTTATAATAAATTTGTGTAAATTTTAAATAAATATCAAAATAGAATAAACTTTTAAATTAAAAAATATTTCTTAAATTAATAAATAAAATAGCATTAGTGGTATAATAAAGATAAAAAAATAAATCAAATAAAAGTTATCAAATAAATTCAAAGAGTTTTATTGTTTTCAATTAGTTTTTATAATTCAAAATATCACAATCCAAAACAAATAAACTGTTTTTACGAAAGGTCAAGTGTCAAATTTGAGAGATTAATGCAATTTGCTAAACCAGAACCTAAGCCTGATGCACCTTCGTCACCAATTTAATTACTACTTTTTAAATATTAAAGAAAAAATTTATCATAAAATAGTTAATGAGAAGGAAAAAATGAAGAAAAAATATGAAATAATAAGATTAATTAATTAATTAATAATAAAAGTAAAAAATTAGAAAATAAAAGGATAAGCTAAATATATTAACAAAGAAAGAACAAAAAAAAGCAAGCACAATAAAAAGAAAAAGAAAATATAGCTTTATTGTTTTTAATTAGTTTTTATAATTCAAAATATCACAGTCCAAAACAAATAAACTGTTTTTACTCAAGGTTAAGTGTCAAATTTGAGAGATTAATGCAATTTGCTAAAGCAGAACCTAAGCCTGATGCACCTTCGTCACCAATTTAATTCTCTCTTTTTAAATATTAAAGAAAAAATATATCATAAAATAGTTAATTAGAAGGAGAAAATGAAGAAAAAATATGAAATAATAAGATTAATTAATTAATTAATTAAAAATAAAAGTACAAAATTTAAAAATAAAAGGATGAGCTAAATAAATTAACAAAGAAAGAACAAAAAAAGCAAGCACAATAAAAAGAAAAAGAAAAAAGAGCTTTATTGTTTTTAATTAGTTTTTATAATTCAAAATATCACAATCCAAAATAAATAAACTGTTTTTACTAAAGGTCAAGTGTCAAATCTGAGAGATTAATGCAATTTGCTAAACCAGAACCTAAGCCTGATGCACCTTCGTCACCAATTTTATTACAATTTCTTAAATATTGAAGAAAAAATATATCATAAAATAGTTAATTAGAAGGAAAAAATGAAGAAAAAAGATGAAATAATAAGATTAATTAATAAGTTAATAATAAAAGTAAAAAATTTGAAAATAAAAGGACAAGCTAAATATATTAACAAAGAAAGAACAAAAAAAGGCAAGCACAATAAAAAGAAAAAGAAAAAAGAGCTTTATTGTTTTTAATTAGTTTTTATAATTCAAAATATCACAATCCAAAATAAATAAACTGTTTTTACGAAAGGTAAAGTGTCTAATCTGAGAGATTAATGCAATTTGCTAAACCAGAACCTAAGCCTGATGCACCTTTGTCACCAATTTTATTCCAACTTTTTAAATATTGAAGAAAAAATATATCATAAAATAGTTAATTAGAAGGAAAATATGAAGAAAAAATATGAAATAA